GACTACTCGTCCCCGAAAAAACATGGGGAAACTTAATAGAACTACCATATCAAAATATCAAATTGAAACTGTGAGGCATAAAAAGGGAGGAAAATGCAAAAAATGCAAAGCTATTTTTTTTTTTGGTTTGGTCAAACTACAAGACGTCCAGATGCACTCTTAACGTACCTTAATCTTTCCATCAGAGAGCAAGACAAGGCAGTGGACAAATTACTGTCAAGATCAACTCTAAGGATTCTGACGACGAGCCAAAAGCAGCTTGGGGACCGTTGATGGCTTAACATAAAATATTTTAATGGTCTTAACACTACCCTGTTATGCCTACCCATTCGATGTGTCGGTCCTGTAGTTACTGAAAGTAGAAGCGGCCTTGTGTGAAGGCATCCTTTTATTGGAGATGCCCCGTTCAGAGATGCCCGATGTTGTGCAGGAACTCCATGCAAATAGTACATACTTATTTGCCTTACATACAGAATGTTAACTATTAATACTTCTACTTACCCTCACGGTCCTTTAAATGAAGCTCGTCGATCTTATCAACTGTCGTCATCACTTTCACTTACTAATTTCCGTAACATCTTTTAATATTCCCGGAATTGTAATTAAGAAAATTTCTTTTTCGTAAAACACAAGCTTGTAGTGTCTGTATCATTATTTTTGTCAAAATCATCACTGATTTTATCATCATGAACATCATACTTTTATTCTTCATATTCATCTTCATATTTACTTCTACTACTACTGCACTACTGCTACTACTACTTCTACTACAGTGATCATTTTTATCATTATCCTTATTTTAATCCTTTATTATTATCAATATAATAATTGCTATCATTATAAGAATTATTACTGTTGTTATTATCATCACTATTATCATTATTAATATCATCACTAACATCTTCATCATGTTTTATCTGAACTACTATTATCGCCCTCCTCACTTCTGTTCTGTAATGAAACTAATGTTTCTCTGAATTATAACAGAAAAGATAGAGTGTCATATCCTCTACCTGCACAAGTGGAAACAACTTCTTACTCATACGATTTTAAATTGCTTTACTTTAATTTATATTACCCGCTGTTTCTTATTATGTTTTCTACACTCTACCAGGAAAATTATTTGTCCTATATCCAGTGTACAAACGCTTAGTAGCTGTGAAGTACCATCGGCATGCTTCCATCTAACTATATTATGTGTTGAAAAACATTTTCTCATGCCACTCTCAGAACAGTGTCTTTCCATTTCTGTTCCTAGTCTCCAAGGTGATGGAAGAGACATAACAAATGTAAGGGAAAGAAAGTGAATGCTAACAAATTATTCAGTGCTAAAAACTAAAACTAACAGAATACTTGCCTTCAACATATGCGAGTCAGAAGGAAGCTGATCCAACTTCTTGAGACTATTTCCTGTAAGGTTGAGGTGAGAGAGACTCTTCAGTCCCCTGAGCCTCTCGCGAGGCAGGATTTCCAAGTGGTTGAAGCCCAAGTTGAGATGAGTAAGTTGCGTGAGGTTTCTGAAGCATCCTGGAGAGATCTTCGCTATTGCGGCTTGCCCAAGGTTGAGGGAACGTAGGGAAGGTGTTAGAAGTAGGTCATGGCTCGTTAGTAGTGTGAGGTTAGTCCTTGAGGCCTCTAGTTCCTCTAGGGCTGCGAGCGGAGGTCCTCCTGCCACCAGGATTCCTGTAACTCGCTTCATCGGATTGCCAGACATGTTGAGTGTCGTGAGGGAAGCCATGCCATCTAAGAACATGGCATTTGGAATCTGGCTGAAAATATTGTCTGCTAGATTAAGCCTTGTGATGCTCAAATTGGCGAACACACCAGGCGGTAAATCTGAGAGTTGATTACCTGATAGATCTAATTCCTTTAGGTTTTTCAGTTTGGAGAAAACAGTATTATCCATTGATCTCAAATTTGTTTTAGACAGGTAAAGTTCCCTTAAGCCAGTTAGATCATTCAAAGATCCACTCAGAGAAGAGAGTGGATTTCCATTCAGGGTTAAAAGCTCCAGTTTCCTTAACCCTTCAAGTGAAGTCATGACCTGGTTTGTTAGGTTATTGTATGAAAGGTCTACTTCCCTTAATCTACGCATTTTCTGGAAGAGTGCCGCTGTCAAAAACCTGAAACTGTTCCTTGCCAGATTGAGAGTCCTCAGCTCAGAAGCTTCAGCCAACAAATGAGCCGGAAGGTTCTCCAACCTGCAGCCACTTAGATCTAAAGTGTCTAGATTAGGCAGATCGTACAGGGAGTCCTCAGCCACTGTATCAAAATGATTATCGGCCAGATTTAGGTTCCTTATACTCGGTGTTCTAAAATAGAGTTTATGCAGACTGACAAGCATGTTTTTCTTCAGGTTCAGCTCCTCTAAGAACCTGAGATCTGCAAAGGCATCAGGATCAATCTCGTTAATCATTGACCCTTTCAGATTGAGTGTCCTGAGAGGTATCGAACCCTCAAACATGTAACGCCTTATCACGAAGATCTGGTTGTTGGAGAG